TACAATAAGCTGTGGATTATCGAAATATGGTGTAGTGATTGATAGCAAGTTTGTATATGTATCTGTGGCATCATTCATTTGACCTTGACCTCATTTACATGAAGCATAACAATGTAATTATAAGAAATACATGATTTTTTTTATAATTTTATAAGGTTGTAAAAGCGTTGATCGTGCACACATTTTTATTATGAAGCGCTTCCGCAATGCAAAAGGTCGTGTTTTTTCCGACTGTTGATGGTGTCTTTTCACTAGATTTTAGAGACTGTGTGAACTTTCTTATCGGTACTGTGTATCTTTTGTCTTTATGTTAATTGTTTTTGTGCTGCCAACTGATTTCAATAGTTCATATAAAGTTTTGTTACACCATGGTCACAGATAAGAGGAGTGTTGATAGCACACAAACATGTTTAACCCCGCCACTTTCTGTATATGCCTGTCCCATATCAGGAGCCTGTAATTCGATGGTTGTTGATAGGTTTTCTCTAGTTTAATTGTTTTTCATGTGTTCTTCTGTCATAAATCAGACTGTTAGGTTTTTCGTTTGAATTGTTTCAGAATTTTCCATGTCGGAGTTTTTTGTAGCCGACTATATGGTACGGATTTTGCTCATTGTTGAAGGCCATACGATGATATATGCCTGCTTGAATCCACGTCATTTTGACTTTAGTGTATGGTTGTCCTTTTGGAAATCATACCACATCTCCTTATTCTCTATTAGTTTGTGTATTTTTTCGCAGCAAATATTTTATTATCTGAATGATAGACTGTATTGTGTATAAATGCGTTTAGGCCAAATCTCAAGCAAGTCCCTAACATAAGCATGATCTTTCATGGCTTTCAAAATACCTTATGCAAATTCAGCTTTGAAATACTGACTTCAGTTGTGCCTGCTGGTGTGTGCTCAATAGCTCGAACTGTGGTACATTATTTTGTAATCACCAGTCTGAAGGAGATTTAGGCCGAAACCTCAAGCAAGTCCCTAACATCAGCAGAATTCTTTCTGAGCTTTCAAAGCCTCGATACGAATTTTTGCTTATGCCTTTCATATTTATTACGATTGCCCCGAATTCTGGTCGTTTAACAAGACCGACCGATTTGATTCTTATTCTACAATTATAACAAAAAGAAAAAAAAATAATATAATGTTTAAAGTTATGAAATACCGACACAAAATATATTCCTCCAAACAAAGCAAATATCTACAAACTTAAGTGACCATCTAAAATAAATAAATCAACTATACAACAAAAAACAAGCACAAATGAGGAAAACATTAAGTGAAAACTGTCCTGGTGAATGACCTTATTGCGTTTGCAACAAAATGATTAACAGTACGAGTAATTCTGTTTTGAATAAATTTAAAAGTTTTGACTTAATATTTTTTTTTCAAATTGCTTATTTCTGCACAATGACTTGCATTTCACACATAAAATTTGTCACACACATGGACAGTGTCTTATTGCTTTAATCAGAATACAAATCTTGTGATAGTAAGAATATTAAAAATGTGGTAAATTGCGGGTAAATGTTTAGTTTTACTAAAATGCTGTTATACTTATATTTTAAAATTATGTGAATATTTTTCGCTTTCGTTATATTATATAATTAAGTGCCAGTCTTTGTAAGAATCAGGCAATTTAAATAAAATTCAAAACATGACCAAAAAAACCCACCGACCTAACCATCCTATTTTGAAGTTACCCTCATCCTGAGTTAGAAATGGTAGGGCTTTCATTTCTGCGTGTCTGGTAATTCGAGAAATCTCTAGATATTTTTTGGTAAGAATGATAGCAAATTACGGAGTTAGCTCCCCTTAATATCTAATTTCTAGTGCATTTCAACCAAATTATATCTTGAATTACCAGAACAGGAAAAGGAAACGAATGTTATATCCCTACACCATTTTACATTTTGAACATACATTAATGTCAACTTGAGTGGGGTTTTGTTTGTCATGTTTTCACCACTGCCTGGTTCTTAGGCAGATTGGCACTTAATATATAAACCATATTTTAAGTACTATTTCAACCACCAAATAGAGCACAATATTTTTTTCATTTTAAAAATTCCACGTACAATACGGTATATCGGGGTACCTTATAAAACACGTAATTGAGGAAATCATGACCTCGGGATCTACGATGACAATCATGATTGTAAAATATAATGATTTTCCTGTATTTCGCAAATAAATTTAGCCGCGTGTTTTATTCGGTTAACATACACCTTTTAACTAGAAGCTTATTTGGTACGTGGAAGTCTACTATATTCACCAATTGAGGAAATCATGACCTCGGGATCTTACGATGACAATCATATCACATGATTGTAAAATATAATGATTTTCCTGTATTTCGCAAATAAATTTAGCCGCATGTGTTATTCAGTTAAGGATGTTCGCTACTCTGTTTCAAAATAACAAGCTTTTTAAAAGACTGTTATAAATTGATGGTAGAATCATGTGCAAAACAGTGTAGACGAGACCATTGATTGGCGCGCAAAAATATCCCATTGTCTGGGTCAGATTAGGTGAACGTTCGTCTGTAACGCCCATAACTCACGACGTATTTATTATAGACATTTAAACTGTGGGGAAAGAAAAGTAGGGGTTACTGAGCAAAATATTTATTAGCACTACATGGATAAAACCAGAGGATTCCGAGTATCTGACTAATTTTCAAAATCAAGAGGAGCGAACATCCTAAACATAACCCTTATAACTAGAAGCTTTGTGTGGTGCTTAGATTTTGCATGTGACTTAATTGATATATTATTTTGGAAGAAATCACAAACCCTAAAATTTCGAAGTTCAAAATGGCGACTTACTTTAATGACAGACCGGTAGACCGTGGAATATAACACTTCAAAATATATGAAGACGACCATTAATTACATATCAATTTAAAAATTACATTGTGTTACAATGAATAAATGACCATATTACGTAATCTTATGTTATTGTTAGACTTTTTAAGAAAATGTGCAAAATGGCAAATAAAACTGTCTGATTCATATTTATCAATAGATTGTCATGTAAGCAGAAGTAAATGTAAATTGTGGTTTTTGAAATCACGCAAAACATTAGTTTTAAAACGAAGTGTTATGAATAGAGAATGACTAGTGTTCTAAACATCAAATATTACTAAGAAAATCAAGTTCTATATATCAAGGTCAACATTAATGTTCAGGCAAGAATGCGGAAAGCATGTATACACAGCCGTATAAAAGAGAAAAATAGCTGATCATTTATACATACCATTGATAAAGGCATCGAGAGACAGAAATCCAGGTATATGATGGAGAGTTGTCTCATTGGCAATCATACCACATCTTCTTATTTATAATAACAATTTTCAACTTAACAGTTATAAGCTCGAGTAAATATCAACTAATTAAAAGCTTCACATATATAAACATTGTTTGGTTATAATATCAATTAATGTGAAAATGTTTACTTTGGATGTCGTTTTTTTTTTATTTTTATTAATTCATCTTGAATTACATGTAACAACGACAAATATTTCTACTTACTTCTCAAATGTTTATTAATATTTTATTAATTTATTTCAGACAGGATGAATACTTTGATTACCTATGCTGTTCTTTTATTGACCTTTTCCTTTGCTAATGCTGTACCCAAATTTGGCGGCGGTAGAGGAGGTCTGTTTTTCTTACATAAAAATATTTTGCTCTTTCCGATCAAACAGAGGACTAATTCAAAAGGGTTTGCTTTTTAACCTTTATTTTGCAAGTTTTCGTTTTACACTAAGTCTTGTAAATTTAAACTATTATTTGAAGCATTATGGTTGACATGCAATTTGGTCCAGATAAAAAAAAATCTAACTAAACATGATACTATTAATTTGTTATAATATGATTATGAATTTTTTACATTGAATCTAAGACTTGATTCATTATTATGACGAGCTCAAAATGGCTTAGTAAAGTATTAGAAATGATTTTGGTTTGTTTAACATCCAGTTACATAGACTCTAAGGCTTGATTCATTATTATGACGAGCTTAAAGTGGGTTAGTAAAATATTAAAAATTATTTTGGTTTGTTTAACATCCAGTGGCTAATATTTCATGCACATACAGTTCGAGAACAATTAACAAATATGTTAAAGTGGTAGATTCGGAAAAGTGATCCGACCGGGACTGTAATCTTGCAATCGGGCAATCACGGATTCCTCCGTCAGTTATTGCAAGGATTCCATACCATGCAAAGAGCGTGGAACTCTCCCAACATAAGCCTATGATATAAAGTATAAATGCCAATTAGAAATGGCTCTTAATTAGGATCTTAGCTGCAATAATAATTCAGATTTTCCCATTCATAATTTTAGTTTGTAATGAATATTTTGTCTTTAAAAAACGATTGGGGAAAGAATAAATCTAAAAATGTGGCATCAATTCTATTTATTCTGTCGAGCACAACAGTCAGTCAGAAAAACTTTAATAGAAAAGTAACAGAAAAATTTAATGAAAAAATAAAAGAAAAGTTTACTAGAAGATCATTATACAACTAAATTTTGTTTTGCTTTCATTTAATATAGTTGTATGAATTATTTCAGTAAGTGGTTCAATCAGTGGGTCACTTGATGGGTCTATTGGCGGAAATGTGGGAAATGGCTTCGGAAGTGGAATTGGTGGCAGTGGGATTTCTAGTTCTCTCAGTGGTGCTCTAAGTGGAAACTTGGGCGGTGGCATTAGAAGTGGAATTGGCGGTGTAGGTGTATCTAATTCTCTCAACGCTGCTCTCAGAGGAAATTTGGGAGGAAGTCTTGGAAGTGAACTTGGCGGCAGTGCACTATTAAGTTCACTCAACGCTGCTTTAAGTGGAAACTTGGGCGGTGGCATTGGAAGTGGAATTGGCGGTGTAGGTGTATCTAATTCTCTCAATGCTGCTCTAAGAGGAAATTTGGAAGGTAGTCTTGTAAGTGGACTTGGCGGCAGTGCAGTATCAAGTTCACTCAACGCTGCTTTAAGTGGAAACATGGGCGGTGGCATTGGAAGTGGAATTGGCGGTGTAGGTGTATCTAATTCTCTCAATGCTGCTCTAAGAGGAAATTTGGGAGGTAGTCTTGTAAGTGGACTTGGCGGCAGTGCACTATCAAGTTCACTCAACGCTGCTTTAAGTGGAAACATGGGCGATGGCATTGGAAGTGGAATTGGCGGCATTGGATTATCTAATTCTCTCAACGCTGCTCTAAGTGGAAATTTAGGAGGTAGTCTAGGAGGCGGTATAGGCAGCAGTGGAATATCAGGTTCTCTTGCTGGTGCTCTAAGTGGAAATGTGGGAGGTGGAATTGGTGGTGCTGGTGTCGGTGAAACTATCTCCATTAGCATTAGTGCCTATCTTAGATTAATGTACTATATCTCTGCTCTACAACAAGCTATTACTGCCAATACCTTAGGAGCAGGAATCAGTGGTGGAATCAGTGGTGGAATTGGTGGTGGAGTAGGAAGTGGATTCACTAGTGGTACTGGATCTAATTTTGCTGGACAATTTGACGGTGGATTCGCTAGTTCTGTTGGTAGAACTGGATTCGGAACAGGAGTAGGAAGCAGCGGATTTGCTGGACAATTTGGAAGTGGATTTGTTGCACAAAGTGGAAATATCGGAGGCATTGGAGGAGAAGAAAGTTTAAGTGGTGGACTATCCGCGGGATTAAGTGGTGGACTTTCTGGGGAAATAGGAAGTGGTATAGGAGGGGGCGCAGGAGGACTTAGTAGTGCAAGCCTTTCAGGTCAGTATTCTATGTCGTCATTAGGTAAACCATGTTTAACAGCATATGGAAAAAAGGAGCTCTATAATATAATTGTTTGCAATGCAATGCTTGATATGTAGGAACGATATAAGTCATATCTATCTATAAGTGCTGTTCTTGACATTTACTCTTTTTATATACACTGACTTCACTAAGAATTCTCCCTTCTTTCTTTTACCTTTTTATTTTTTTTTATTGGGGTTTGGACCAGGGTTGAAATGATATTCAATCATGTAGTTTGTTAGGCCTTCTAATTTTAAATACACTGTTTTGAATAGAGTCTTATGTTGAGGACCGAAGCGACTGGCGTACCTAATTATAGTATTAATAAGAAGATGTGGTATAAGTGCCAATGAGACAACTCTCCAACCAAGCCACAATGTGTGTAAAAAGTAAACAATTATAGGTCAAAGTACGGCCTTCAACACGGAGCCTTGGCTCACACAGAACAGCAAGCTATAAAGGGCCCCAAAATGACTAGTGTAAAACAATTCAAACCGGAATACCAACGGTCTAATCTATATAAAAAAACGAGAAACGAGAAACACTTATAAGCCTGGTATTTTTATTCAATGGTCTGTTGTATTAAAACATTTTTCCGATTGCATTACTAAGAGATGTTGTTTTTCATTATAGTCATTACTTTATTAATAAAGAATACGTCGATTTCAGGTGGTCTCCAAGGAAGTATAAGAAGTGGATTCGGTGGAGGGTCTGTTGGAAAAGGTGAGCTTTTTGAAATTAATTTTAAAAACAACAAAAAGAAATAAAGAAAAATCTTTGTTAGATAATAGTAGCATGATCAGTACTTTTTCCTCTATTTTTTTTCACTCATTGGGACAAAATCCGAAAATCTTAAAACCTACTGGAAATTCGAATATCGAATAGTCTTTATAATTAACTCGAAACTTTTTTAGTATTTTTACATATTCACATATAACCTGACAATCAAAATGTAGTTATCCGTATTACGTTATGCTGAGGACAATGTTACCAATTTTTTTAACATGTTTTTGTAAAATTTTCCATCGAAGGACATCTTCAACCAAAATGATTTAAATTGTACCTGAAAAATTATATATACATTTATAGAATGGACATTTTTGGTTTTTAAATATAATTAGGTATCGGTTAAGAATGTCGTCCTTATACAATGTTTGAATGTTTATTAGGTCAGTTGTTAGAAATTAAGCCAACATTCGGTCAAAACTGCCCACATTATTAAAGATACAAATATGATAAGTAAATTTATTAATTTTGTTAATAGCTCACAATATCAGGAATACAAATTATTATTAAATGGAACATCACGATTCATTTTTGTTTAAATTGTGTGAACAATTTTCTTAATTTTCCCATTGGATATAATAATATGTAATTTTTTTTGTAGGATCAGCATATTAAATAACAGATGTACATTTATCGAACGCCTGAAGTCGATGAACAAACAACCACATTTTTTCTTTTGTTGTATTTACTTGTTATTAGAATAAACTTTTTTATTCAATCGTATTTAGTCTTGTTCCTGATTAATTTATCTTTATTCTCATCCCTTGTTGTTCAAAAATTTAACTAATAGAAACATTACTTTCATTGAATCTGAGATAGCCTTTTATTTGTTCTACGATCATGTGCAGAGAAATGCCCGCTTAATAAGGAAGAGCAAATGAACAACGGCATCTATGTAAGGAAAATTAACAATAAGAAAAAGAAGAAAAGTTTCCCCGGTAATTAGCGTAACAAATTATATGTTTAAGGTTTAAAAGCAGCGATCGGTTTTGATTTAGAAATTGCAAGCTCAGAATGATAATTTGAATTGGTATATTTAGAAACAACTGGATTATTTAGAGAATATTGTGTCTTTTTTCATGCATTGTTAAAAAAAAAATGAAAACAACACGTCATAAATTTCATGCGTCCGAAGCGCTTTTCTGGATTTACCTTCATCAGGAACGTTTAAGTATCTGACACGAGATTGATCATTTGGTCTTCACTTAGATCAATCACAAACTCCCATCATTACAGTTAACGAATAAATATTATATGAATATATAGTTATTACTGTTATATTGTTAGTTATGTGTTGTTCCCTCGGCGAGATTTGAACTCGTACTTCTGTAACATGAAGCTGTCTATGCTTTATCTAAATATAGCCCTTGTTAGTCGATTGTCGGCTTCATCTATGGTTGTAACACAGTGTATGATGATATATCGCATGTAGAATGAATACTTTGCAGATAAGCTGTTTGTTGTCTGAAGGTGGCATAATAGTATTTACATTCCGGAATTAAGAATGCTCTTTTGTGTACCCTACTTAAGTATCTATTGAAAATACTTTACCAAGCTGAGGAATGAATCATGTGTAGAAAAGTACGAAATAATTTTACATACAAGTAAAGATGAAATTTTTAAGAACTTTTTTAAATTTTGTATTTACTGCAAGATAAACGACCTGAATGCAGTAGTAGCTTTAGGTTTATAAAGAAAAAAGAAAAAGTAAACAGTTATCATACATATTCAAATTTATTTCTGAATATTATATAGAATGTATTTCAGTTAACTGTGTATGTAGTTTCCTGGGCAGTACAAGAAAGTGGTGAAAATTATAAATAGGCTATCATTATCCATATGGGACAGGATATACTACCGTACCCCCTTAAAAGATGATAATACTTACCATGCAGTCATAATAATGAGTTTCTGCTTTATACGTGTGCATATGTGAAAAGTGTAACCGAAATCGCTTTCTTCACCTGAAGTTAAATAGTGATAGAAATTTCCATTATTAGAGCTTGAATCTTTTATGCTGTTTCATATTTTTTAACACATTTGATGTCTAAATGGCATGAAAATAACACTTCCATAGCAGTTTTCTGGGTAAACCTTCACAAGAAACGCTCAAACGAAAACAGTTAAAAGGAAAGGATATTTCAATACCCGAATACGTTGAGAGGTAAATGACCAAAAGCTAACATTTGAATTTGTCCAGACATGTCTTTTCCCTGAAAGGTTTTCATGGAATGTCCTCATTTGGAATGGACGTTTTAATTTTTTAGCCTGTGATTAACAAAATGGATATGTATTCTAAGTTAGTTTTCCATTGTTCAAAAGGAGAAAGTTTGATTTCGCCACACCATAGGATTCGAAAGCATTATACATCTATCAAAATAATTCTCAATATGTCCACAAAAAATCTGTCTGATATGAACGTTTGAAAATTATTTCTTAAATATCTTTTATAGACTCTGGGGGAAACTTATCGAATTTAGAGAAACACTACATAAAGTGCTAAAATAATCTCAACTTAAAATCGTGGCTGTCATAAATAGTTTATTAGATATGAGTAACAGCATAACAATAATTTTAAAGTGAGTCAAATCTTTTCTAGTGAGACTGTAATTCATATTCACTTTTTGCATCAATTCAAAAAAAGAAATTTGAGATACCAAAAGGAAACAACGAAAAGACAACTAAAAAGTTTCAAAACACTCCTCGAAAAACTAGAGATAGTGAAACACAAACCCTACTAAAACCCGCTGGTCATTTTAGGTGTCATGCGAAACCGTCGTATTGATAATAGCAAGTAAAAAAGCGGGGAAATCTTCTCCTTTGTTCTAAAGTGTAGTTCTTTATCGACCGTTATTGCAAATGTTTAGATGCAAGTTATGATAACTGTATCTGTTGAATCCTTTGTTTCCTGGAACATATGATTTCAAAAACAACCTTTGAATAAAACTTTATGAGATGACATCATCTATATAGCGACACATGAAATTACAAGATTATGCTAGCTTTTTAAATAAATTACTGAGAAACTCTGGTAAAAAGTATGCGTCATGTGGATAAAGAAAAAGGTCAGCAAGAAGATGAGCACAGTTGTCCCCTATAAGAATGCAGATTGTCTGTTGATAAGAAGTCTTCAAGACGTAACAAATATGTTGTCCATAAAACTTTCCAGCATTTTAATGTTGCCATTTTTGTGATTAAATCAGAGTGTTTACTTTTAAAAAGTATGATTTACCCCTTCCTGAAACAAAATATTTTTACCTTCGTTGGCCATTCGTTTTTTATGAAACAAAAGTGGTCTGCAGACTTTTCAATCTCTCTTTAAAAGATAGGCAAAAGATACCAAAGGAAATTAAACTCATAAGTTGGAAATAAACTAACAACGCCATGGCTAAAAAAGAAAAAGACAAACAGACAAACAACAGTACACAAAACACAACATAGAAAACTAAAGACTGTGCAATACGAACCCCACCAAAAACTGGGGGTAATTTCAGGTACTCTGGAAGGGTAAGAAGATCTTGCTCCACATGTGGCACCCGTCGTGTTGCTCATGTTAGTACAAACCCGGTGATAAGTCTAATCAGAGGGTCACATTCAGGGGAAAAGGACGGGATTGTGGTTACGACAATTGCAGCATATTTGTCGTCATCTGTGAAACAGATATTCCATAACGGTCAACCAACACGTGATGGCGTCCGTAAAATTTACAAAGGGATGATTTCAACGTCACCACGTGGAACTCTTGGTTTAAAGGGAAACTTCGCAACAAAAATGAAAAATTTATATTATGTTCATTGTGAATAAAAAAGCACAAATTCATTAATATTAACGTTTTATTCCCCAATATAAGAGATCAGCATCGATTTTAATTTGAGATTATCAATTCTCTACATGTCGCCATCTTGACGGCTTCCATATTGAAAAACCACGTGATATCTATAAACCACAAAGTACCAAACAAGCAGGGACTCACGTAGTCGTAATTCAGTGTCGAAATCACTTGTCAAACGTACGTTTTTTTTTAACCCGACAAGGTAATGACAAAAGCAATCACAGTTTCCCGGATCCTTAAAAAAGAATTATACGAAACATGGTTGTATACTACCTATCGGAAAACTTTTTAAACTAACTTGATACGGAACAATGTTTAAAAAAAGGTTTAAGAGTCGGAAAAGTCGGCCGATTGGACA